ACACACACACACACACACACACACACACACACACACACACACACACACACACACACACACACACACACACACACACACACACACACACACACACACACACACACACACACACACACACACACACACACACACACACACACACACACACACACACAACTATGCATATATCCACCGATTTCGAGGTGCCCTGGTATGAGAGCGCCATCTCTCATCAGTAAAGTCTAATTAAGTGTCTTCAACGCGCGCGCGCGCGCGCGCGTGCGTGCGTGCGTGCGTGCGTGCGACGCACGCACACGCACACGCCCCCCCCCCACACATATATATATATATATAGGGAGAGAAAGGGGGCGAGAGAGATACACATTTTACTTGGACCTATAACTTGACCCCGCTCTAAAGGATATAGATGCATTAGATGTAAGATTGCTGTTTTAGTTGTATCTGTCCGCACGCGGCGATGCGAGAAGGGCACGTATTCAATTTTGTCATAAGCCAACTACTATATAAGAAGATTACAGGTGGTCTACTATTATGCGATAGGGCATTGGCATTCTAATTCCGTGTTAGAATTGTTGTCTCATAAGATAGCTTTAGGGCACAGGCATTCACCGCGTTATACATATTGTTAAAATGTTATTATATGAATTTCTATGCAGTGATTATACGTGCGAAGCTATGTATAATTCATCGATAGATTTGCGGATAACTTCTACAAGCATTTCATGATTTGCAATGTCCGCTATATAAGTAGCACTCTCACTTCCGTGATTGCCCGTTATTTTTCAACACATGAATGAAAATAGGCTCACTGTGATTTACATGCTTGGAATACATACATTTAATATCTACAGCTAATAATATTATTTGTGTATATAAGCATATATAGGTATATGGGTATAATATAACAAGTATTATTAATTCTTCATATTAAGACAAATACATGTTATTGATATTTCCATGCTAATTATAACACTGTATTATAACACCTTTTTACAGTTAATAGTTATTGGCAAATAATTATTAACCCGCTCATAATAGAGTAAATATATATACGCAGTACAAATGTGAAGTGTTTGAAACAGCCGTCAGTTCCCCAGTCCACGACTGATTACTTTTGAGCAGGACTGGCTACCTTTTATTGATTTCGTATATACAGTAGTAGAAAGAATTTTGTTGAAATCAGGACTAGCTGGATTTTCAGACCTATTTCTAAGCTTGATTTGTGCGTCACTGTTTCACATATATCAGCCTGATATTAATTCTTTAAAGTAACATGCAGGTCAACCATTCCATTCAGAGCGCATACAACGCAAATATCGAGACGTGACCTTTATTGTTCCTCATGCAGTGCGAGCAATATTATGTAAAGGCACATATACCGAGCCGGCGGAAACGGGGTTACGTACCCTTTGCCATGTATAGAGTGATTAATAGTTGTCTATAGAAACATGTTTAATAACCGCATGCACTCATCGATGGTTTTAATTATTGATTAACGGTTTAAGGTGGTTGCGTGCTTTCCGTGGCAAACTGCGCATATGTGACCTCTGTGATTGCTCTAGAGCAGCGCCATGCAGCTTCCCGATCCGTCGCACCTATACTTATTCAGTTTTATCACCGTTTATGTACGTGACATTCGTTTGTCGGACGAATCAAACCCAAGCATATGAGACAGATGTGATCTTTGCCAATTGTTAGTATGATTTTCGATAGAATCAATCCGTGCTGTTATTCTACTTTTCGAAATGAATTCAACAGTATATCTAAAATGGGTTGTCACTGCTGTTACTATATATTACATCTTGATTACATTGTACTATCGACGCTATATTGATGTTTACTTACCCTCTTGAATATCGCAGGCTCATAGACGTTCTCCGCGCATTATTGGCATTTAATACATATGAAAACTGTGATGATGGATAACACGCTAATGCACGTACTCTCCGTTCCACGTATATGTGCCCGTAAATGCACGGAGCTGGTATAGGCTGTCTATTAGTTAATGTTGTTTTTAGCTACAACGGGTTAGATTACTTTCGACTAACTCAGTCGCTTGCTCGCAGTAACGCATATATCGCCGCAGTAATCTCGTGCCACATGTAAAACACTGCTACCTGCATGTGCACGCGCGCTTTAAGGCAATGCGAGGGAGGTCACACTTCACGGGTCATAGTGTTACCTACTAGGTCACAGCTAAAGTTACACATCTCGGTTAAATAGAGCATACGCCACGCAGATGTTCCGACTGAAGTAGGAAATCTCCTACAACACAAGAACTCGGCCAAAACGAAAACGAGAAAGTAATGTCGTGTGGCTCTCGTCCGAAAAAAAGATTATTTCAGTATAACGAGATTATTTACTAAGTATAGAAAAGCATGCGTAGCAAAAGCTTGATAAGCATTTAAAATTAAGGTAAAACTTAAGGCCTGAAATTCAGTTAGACAAAAAGAGCCCCGATCGAGGAGCATATATATAGTATATAACAGGGTGCTACAAAAACGCACGCACGCACGCACGCACACACGCACGCACGCACAATATATATATATATATATATATATATATATATATATAGAGAGAGAGAGAGAGAGAGAGAGAGAGAGAGAGAGAGAGAGAGAGAGAGAGAGAGAGAGAGAGAGAGAGAGAGAGTAGAGACGAGACGACGAGTACGACTACGAG